TTGACAAAGAACTTGCAGGACAGATTGAACAGATTTGTAGCAAACCTGAAGCATGCAGCAGAAAGCGATGCCAGAATTGAGCGATCTGTGAGGGATCATGCTGCTCTAATGTCAATACTTGATTGCCGCCCTGTATGTATCTGCACAACTATTTTGCTTTATATCTCATTTTCCCTAGGCGGAGGTCAAGTTTACACACACAGATGCATGCATAAAAAGATGAAAGCTTCTCATCTACTTTCAAGTCATTTTTATCCGGATATCCCAAATTGGCAAATTGCAAGATTTATTGGCATCGATGATTCAAATAGTCGAAGGACTTGATATCCTGATTATGGTTGAAAAGGTTAAAAAGTATATCAAGTGGATTTTTCTAAGAGATTAATGATACACCTTGAGTATATGATTTCGATAATTGGATTCCAAAATATTTTCATGCATCATAGCCCCGTGTCTGCGGGTGCTTCAATTGTTCTGTTTTGTGGCATTCAAAATATGTCTCTACATGAAGAGATATTGGCCTCAAGTATCAAGGCATGTGTTGCATGCTTCCATTCATCCATCTCATGAGTCTTGTGTATCATGAAAGTGTTGTGTCCGGCTTTAATGGGAGCTATGTAGTTAGGCTACTCCTTTCTGGTGCATGCTAACAAAAGCAGGTTTCTTGATTTGGTTCTACTCTCCAATAGATTGAATCTTCGCTCCCCACCCTCGCAAGGCCAATTATGTCATTAGATGCCAATGAAGATGCCATTGTCGGAGTGCTGAAGCAGAGTTTGGTAATTTTTAACTTCCCATACTTCTATTGTTTGCTTATGTAAAAATGAGATTTTCGTTAATCATGTCTTCTTGTTGTACCATTGACAGTAAGTTAATAATGAAATTTCCATTTGCTGGCAATTTAGTAAAACTTTATAGAGAATTACAGATATAGTTACCTAGCCAATTGGAATTTGTTCGTCCAATGCCAATGGAGCTAAAAGAGTCATAATCACAAATATTTTAGTTTGGGTAAATAATAGACTCAAAATGGTTGTGCACATCTTAAGTCTTAACGCCCCAAACCCCCAACGAAGTTGTGATTATACTGGGTTAAAAGATATTGATTCATGGTTTTTCTTCTATTCTTGTTAGATTGGAATTTTTACACTTGCCTCTCATTAATATATCTACAGAGGCAGTTAGAGAGTCTTGGTGCTGAGAGAGCAGGTCTTGAAGACATGTTGAAGGAGATGAAGAGGAAGGTAAAACCAAAATGCAGAATCTGAATTTTAATGCCAATGCTGATGGGCTTACGAAAGTACTGATCGTTCTTTTAAATTTATTCCAGGATGATATCCTTCCTAAGTTGATGACATCTACATGCTCTCATGAAGAACTTTTTCGAAAGGAGATAGGGAAGTATGATCGAATTTGCCAAGAAATTGGGCGAAACATTGAGGCACAAGAACAATTACTAATACAAATTCAGGTCCTTTTTTACTAATCTTGGACGGAAGTTAATTTTGACCGCTTTTTCCCTTTTCAAGAATTTCCATATTCATTTCTTTGGCCATATAATTTTTCACTCTAGCCCTAGCGGATTACTCTTATATGATTGTCATTATGTTTTACAGGCTCAAAATAACGAGTTTGCTGCAACTTTCAATATTGAGGATTACAAGGGTATGATTTATTTTTATGGTTAAACTGTGAATGCTTACCTTTTTGGACTTCAGTCCACAGAGGATTCTCATTTACTAGAAGGTTTGTTTGTGTGAAGAGAAAGATTAAGTAGAGAAAGATTAAGTAGTTTATGCCCTTTTTAGGTCTCACAATGAGCAAAATGAGTTTGGAGTTGCATGAGAGCTTGAAACTTTCCTTTATTGAAACAGCTGCTCTATGCTTTAAACATAGGGGTCAGGCTGCATACATCCAACCCCCCCTTACCCTGCACTGGGCGGGAGCCTTTGAGGCACTGGGGTAATGTTGTTGTTGTCGAAATATACTGAGTAGATTGTTAATGATGATGATGCATGGTTTCTTTCCTGTCTACACTCGCAGCAAATAGAGAGAAGATGTACAGGCAGATTGAAGCTGCAGTGGCAAAATACCGAGAAATCAAGGATAATATTAATGAAGGATTGAAATTCTACGTTACTCTTCAGGTATGAGATTTCCAATTTTTGCTCTCTGGCTTTCAAGCATTGGGTTCAGAATATCATGTTAATCAGCCCAAAAGTACTTTCTAATTTCTATATGCATGACCAAGTGTCTAACCACTGGGGGTCTTATTTGGGATGTGTTTGGATGCAGTAAATGGTGCCTTTGGTGGGGAGGGGTGTATATGGGGGGGGGTGCGTTTTGTGCCTTTGGTTAGCCTTTTGTATATTCATTTATAGTTCATATTTGGCACCCTTTTAATAGTAAGGTGAAAAAATAGTTTAGTTTTTATGTCTAAGATTTACAGTTCCAAACTTTGAACAGGATGCAATCATCAATGTAAAGCAACAATGCAGCGATTTCGTGAATACGAGAAGCACCCAATGCCGGGAAATGATAGATGATGTTCAGAGGAAAATCTCCGGCCTTAGTTTTCAGGA